ACACCCACACACAGCAGTGAGTAATGAACACACACACACACACACACACACACACACACACACAGACACACACAGCAGTGCTAACCACAGAAACATTGCGCCAGCTAATCACTTAAGTCAACTCTCTTCTACATGTGCAACTGACTTATACTGAATCCAAATAAATATGAGTTATAGAGCAGTATTTAAACAATCACAAACTGAGAGGAAACCACCTGCTGTCATCTCACTAAAAGTAAAGAAATAAATACATATTACTGCTATCATAGTTAACTAACGGCTTATTAACTACTTCCACTTCATCAACATTTAAAATCAGTTTACTATATATTTGGACACAGTCACATTTTTTATTTTATTTTAGCTGCTCACTAAAACATATTTGAGTTACAGTTATATGATATACAGTATATGGGCTTAAAGTGCACACTCTGAGCTTTAGTTTCTCATCACAACTGGAGGGAAGGTTAAGAAATTACAGCTCTTTAATATGTACCTCCCCCTTTTTCAAGTGACCATAAGTAATTGGACAATTGACTCAAAAGCCATTTCATGGACAGATGTGGGCTGTTCCTTCGTTATTTCTACATCAATTAAGCAGGTACAAGTTCTGGAGAACCACATCATGCGGTCAAAGGATCTCTCCATACAAGTGAAACAGACAAGTGTTAGGCTTCAAAAGATAGCAGGAACATCAGGAGCGGCCAAATCAACAGTTTGGTACATTCTGAGAAAAAAAACAAGAACGCACTGGTGAGCTCAGAAACATAAAAAACCTGGATGTCCACGGAGGACAACAGCGCTGGATGATCGGAGAATCCTCTCCATGGTAAAGAAAAACCCTTTCACAACATCCAGCCAAAAGAAGAACACTCTCCAGGAGGCAGACGGGTCTACAATCAAGAGAAGACTTCACCAGAGCAAACACAGAGGCTTCACCACAAGCTGCAAACAAGCCCAGATTAGACTTTGCCAAAAAAACATCTAAAAAAGCCAGAGCACTTCTGGAAAAGCATTCTTTGGACGGCTGAAATTAAGATCAAGCTGTACCAGAATGATGGGAAGAAAAACGGCAGTTTTCATTTCAGCTGTTAGTAATGAGACGCCAAGGACACTTTCAGTCTCTACAAAAATATCAATCATGTTGAAGCGGAGATGTGCGAGTAATTATAGATTAGCTTCTGCTCACTGACAAACATCTCCCTGCAGTTCTTCTTCTTCAAAGCGAGTCAGGCGCTTGTTCGCATGGCATCAGATTTAGGTTACATGAAAGAGGTCATCACACCGCTCAGCTGTCTAATTGCATTAGAAATGAGTTAAAGTGCTAAATACTTCATGTACTGACATTTCCAGGTTACATTAATAATCTGTTTATGAGCAAATGCTCACCAGCCGTAGAAAGTGACACTCGTCTGCACCTCGACTGAACTACAGAATTAAACTGTAATATTATTCACTTCCAATTTATTTTTAATAGGACTGTCTACCAAATAAAAAAATGCAAATAAATCAATTATGATATACCATACATATATAATACATGATATACAATACATGATATACCAATTAAAATTATTTTAAAATGCATTACATTTCATCTCAATTAATGACATGCATTAATATATAAAAAAAAAAATTATATGGAAACAATTTGAATATAAATAAATGCTGTTCTTTTGAACTTTCTATTCATCTGTGAATCATGAAAAATAAAATGTATCACAGTTTCCACAAAAATATTGGGCAGCACAACAGAAATGTTTCTTGAGCAGCAGCATA